GTCACCGCGGCCGGGGCCCGCGCCGCCGCGCGCCGCAGCATCCCTGCCGGCTCCCGTAGCCCCGGGGCCTGACCCTCCTCGGCCGCCGTCCCGCCGCGCTCACCCCAGCACCGCGCCACTGGCGGCGGCGGCGTGGGGATTGGCCCTCGCGAAGCCCCGCCCTCGCGAGGCGCGCCGCTATTGGCGGCGGGGTAAGGAGGGCGGGAGCAGGCGCCGCTCCTATTGGTCGGTGGGGCGGTCAATTTGCGGAGGTGGTGGGTGCGTGCGGAGCGGGGATGGTGAGTGCGGAGCGGGACCCCCGGGTGCCCCCGCCGCCACGGGGACGGGGACGGGGACGGGGACGGGAATGGGAATGGGAATGGCGATGGCGATGGCGATGGGAATGGGAATGGGGATGGGAATGAAGTTGGGGGTGGGAATGGGGTTGGGAATGCGAATGGGAAGGGACACAGCAGTTGGATGGGAATACGAATGGGAACAAGAATAGGAGTGGGAATAGGGATGGGAATGGGGATGGGAATGGGAATGGGCACGGGATCAGGAATGGGGAGAGGAATGGGGTGGAGACGGGAATGGGATGGGAATGGGCTCAGGAATGAGAATAGAAGCAGCAGTGGGGAGAGAAATGGGTGGAAATAGGGATGGGAGGGAGTGGGGACAGGAATGGGGATGGGAACACCAATGGGAAGAGAATTGGGGATGGAGACAGGGATGGGATGGGGAGGGAAATGGGAATGGGGAGAGGGGGATGGGGATGGGGAGAGGAGGATGGGGATGGGGAGAAGGATGGGGATGGGGAGAAGGATGGGATGGGAAGAGGGGCAGGGATGGGAGCAGGAATGTGAATTGGGATGGGGATGGGAGCAGGAAGAGGAGGGTGTCCCGCTGTCCGCCCTCAGCCGCCTCTCCGCTCCGCGCAGGCGGAGCCGGCACCGCGGAGCCTGGTGGTGTCGGCGCCGGGGAAGGTGATCCTGCACGGCGAGCACGCCGTGGTGCACGGCCAGGTGAGGCGGCGGCGGCGCGCGGGCCGCACGGCCCCGCTGCCCCCGGCCCCGCTCACACCCCGT